TCACATTTGCAGGAGTGAACTCGGGAGAGATTCCACATGTCAGTTAGAAGAGCTAGATCAGGATTTCTGAAATTCTGCTGGTTGTTTTTTTGTTCCTTGCCATTTCTTTAAGTATTTTTCATGGCAGCTTCTCACCCTACTCCCTCCTTTGGTCAACCACTGGGGAAATGAATCATGATACTGAAATTTGAGACTCTTCCATATCCTGCTAGAGGATTCCCCCCCACAATGACCATATTCATTGTGAACACAACTGCAAACTTTAATCAGAAGCAACTCAAGCACTTAACCTCTGGCCAGGTTCACTCACATGAGTATCCTCTGGTGTTTGTGCCTCACCTTGCAACACCTTGCTGCTCATCCAACCCTAGCTTTCTTGTCTTCTTTCCTTCGACAAAAGCCTTTCTGCTTAATTCCTTCGACAAAAGCCTTTCTGCTTAATATTAGTTGAATTGAGCATCCTCTGTACTAACAGCCAAACTCATAGGTTGCCAAATCTATTTTTTTTTTTTAAATAGTGTCTCCCTCACATTGCCTTTGTTAATGCTATGGTATAGACTGTCTTCCAAACTGCTTTCAACTCTTCCAGTTCATGTCTCTTTACCATGTTAGCACCACTGAGATCACCACTGCTTCTTTAAGGGTTAATGCCCAGCCGTGTTTGGGCAGCATCCCAACCAAGCATTCCCCACCAGGAAATAATTAGATGGGCTTGATCCTAGATATTTGTACCTCCTGTTTCTTCCGCAACCAAAAACTTTCTAGACGTGTATTTTGGGAGCTGAGCCAAGTCCACTCAGTTCCTGAGAGGGAGGAGAAGAGTCTGCAGCTGCAGTTGGTAGATTCCTGCTCGCCACTTCTTCTCTCCATGCTGACAAGGAAATCAATAGGCAGCAGGAAAGGAACAGGCTGGAAAAGGGAGGGGGCCTGTGCAGTAGGTCCCCACCCATCTTCCCAACTCAACTTACAAAACTAAAGAGCTAGGAGAAAAAGCAGACCTTATTTGCTCTCCACTGATAAAAGGCCAGTTTGTTTATAGTTTGAGGGCCAGCTACTGCTAGGGGTGGTGTATGCAGCTTCAAAGCAGAGTCTAAGCTGGCAGCTGAGTAAGCAGAGAGGAATTCTTAGATGAACCAAGAGCTTGGAAATATTGCCTTGCAGGCAGTGCTATTTTTACCAGAGAGTTCAGACAATTAAACAAACTAGATCATGTTATAAATATTAAAAGTTTTATAGCTGTTTGTGTGATAAATTCCTGTGAAGTCCTTTGGCCTTGATTTAAGGAAGAGAAGGGCAGACAGGAAAATGGAGGGGAAATAATAAATTTTGGATATCAGTTATTTTTCCCACATACTCAGTTATACCAACTCTCACAAAACAAACAAACAAAAAAAAACTGAAAAAAAGACACACAAAATGTTTTTAAATTTCCACATCTTCAATGGGTCATTCAGTCAGCTTGGGGCAGACTGTCTGAGCAACAACCTCCTTATGTGTAAGCCCTTGTTCATATTTTGTAGAGAGACATTTAAGACCCTCCCAGTTGCTCTACAAGAACCTACAACACATCTGAACTACTGATCTTGCAATAAGACAACCACTGAAGATGAAGGTGCTAAAGTTTGGCTGATCATTTCAGAGGGGTGAAAATCTTTATTTTCATTATTATTTAGTATTCTTTGTAAGGTTATTATCCATAACATAGAAGAAGGGTTTTCTTTAATGTTGCTGTTTTTACCCATCTACAGACAAAGCTTTATGGATTGTTTGTGACTACATACTTTTATTAACTTTCACTGAAAACAAGTGACTGAAGACTTCTTTAGAAATATTTGCACTGGAAGCAGCTAGTGGTAGAAGGAAGAGGAAAGTAAGTAGCACTAAGAAGCATGTAGCTACTTGGAAAAGCCATTAAACACACCTATCACTTAAAGCTATGGCATTTTCTATGGCTTTTAGTAATTATTTTCCAAACCAAAAAACCTCTAAGCAAAGGTAGCAAGGCTCTGCCAGAGGAGATTCAAAGACTTGGGGATGAGTAGCAAATACAGCCCGCTGTTTCCTTGGGATCTCCTCTGTGGGTTGGACCCAGCAGCTCCCACACTGACCCATTCATCTTGAGAGACAGTTCACTTGCTGCAGGAAAAATAATAAGGAACTAAGTCATCTTGCTTACAGTGGCACTGTACAATGGAGATGGTTACCTTTGATTCCTTGGCAGTGGCCTAGCTGCCAAACTGCCACAGCGCCTGGGGAGCTTCCATCCTCACCAGAGGCCGAGGAACAAGCAGGAACTGCAGTCACAAATCAAACCAGGGATTTTCCCTGAAAATCAGCTCTGTACCTCACTTGTTCTGAGGTTAATTCTTCCATCTCCATACCCAGTTTAACAAAACATCTAAGCACTAAAAGATATCTTCGCCCTCTCCCAAAAACGTGCAAAAGATTAATTCCACTTCAGGGGGAAAGCCAATGGTTTACATTACCCTAAGTAACAACTGAGGTGGCCACACAAGGCTTAAAAATAAATGTTTACATCCATTCCACGTCTTGCTAAAACAAACACATCTCTCCCACCAGCAAGAACTGGAGGACACCCAAGGGTCTGGATTTTCCCTCTCAGAGAGTTTTTAATTCTCATTTTTCTTCCTATTGGCAAAATACATGCAACAGCCAACCTTTGCTTGTTTCATATTTCACATATATAATAAAAAAAAAAAAATCACAACTTCTTAAAATTACACTGACCCAACAACACGATTTTCAAATCTGACCTACTACTTCTGGACAAAGTCCAGTGAAATCCAATCTAGCTAATCTTTTGGACCACTGTGTGAGGCCCAGCAGGAGATGATACAATGCTGCTGGCAGTTACCAACTACCGCAAAAGGCAAGAAAACTGCTGGCTACACACACAAGAGAGCCGGGTTCATACTGTGCAGGTATAGGATGGACAAGGCTTACTATTTTAAACTAATGCTGCAGCAACATGGGCAGCAGAATTTGGGAAACTATGCAGACAGTGGCTTGACTGCTTACGTCATGCATCTAACAGCTCAAGTGCCACGTGTGGAGATATATATATCTACACTGAGTAACTGCCCTTGTCTCATACTCCAGCATCACACACATGTAGCAGTAGAAACAAATGGGCACAGAAGAAAGTTGTGTGGGCTGTCTTCTCCATAGAGCTGCTGCTATGCTGCTGACAGGGTGTTTGACAAGGACACCCAACCACACATTCAATTTAGCCCTGCTCCTCTCCTCCTTCTCTGAACTGAGCTTTTTGGACTGCTCTTTCTGTATTTTAGTTTAAGGCTTTAAGAGCTCCTGACCTTTAAAAAAACTTTACGGCTTGCAATACAACAAAAGCATCAGTATGTGACGGCCCAAATCTTAAAAGCAAGTGCAAAGGAAAATTTAAACTGAAGAGAAGAAGCCACATGACCTTCTCAGTTCTACAGACCAACAAAATCAGTTTGCTTCAAAGGACCCATGAGGCATAAGCCTTTCTAATTCATGCTACAAGATGTAGCATCAAGATCTTAGTCACAGCCTGATGAAAAGATTTAAGTTGGCCTATTTAGGATGTGGCTACATGTACAGACCAGTTTGTGAAGATCACCTATGATAAAACAGGAAATAAGATTTGTACACAAGTAGTTTTCATACAGAGAAAATTCTTCACCCTCTCCAACTCTGAAGGAAGTCAACTTCACCATCTGTTTCCTGGCTTGGAAAAGTTCAATTTTTTTTTCTTCTTTCAGCTCAGTGAACACTCAGCTTATTGTTTTTGAAACCACCTGCTTTTGAGAAGGAAAACAGAATCCATTCACTGATCAATATAAACTCAATACTCTTTTCACCTCTACTGGTCATCCAGAATCCATACACAGGTTAATTTCACTATCAATAGTAGTAGAGGAAACACATGGCTTTAAGAATTGCCCTGAGCTCTCTCCACAAGCCATTAGAATTTTTATATCTTATTTCCTTCTGCACATTACTATCTAGAATAATATTTTCTCGTAATGTTTGTATATGGGAACACCCAGGATATTGGCTTGCAAATACTCTGCGGGCTAAAACTGGAGCCCGCTCAATATTTTTAAAGTGTACATTCCTGAAACAGCATATCACTATACACATAGCAGAAGTATCACATATTTTCATTTCTGTGGTGTTTATATATAAAAATATACTTTCATAAATATATATATATATATTTTTTTTTTTCTCCCCAATGAATCATGTCATTCTGCCACCATATCAGAGCACTCAGAGCAGAATACTGTGTGTGGTACTGTACTAAATATGTATCTGGCTACATATGTTGCACTCATTCGGAAAATGAATCTAGGCATAGCTTTTATTATCACACATACACATACTTATCTTCATTACCAAGAGACGAGCGAAGTTTCTGCATAGCAACAGTTTTTAACTTGTTACATACCTTTTTTTTCCTGAGATTAAGCCAGCAATTACTCCTAGCTGTATCTTTTTCTCTTTTACAGAACTACAGAGCACCCTCCAAATTCACCGCACAGAGTACAGACTTAAGTGATCACAAACTTACAAGTTTAATTTCTTTTGCCAAGAGTCTATTGGAGTTAAGACTTCCCAGATGTTTCACCTCACTTTTCAATTAATATGCCTCAAAGCAGTGACTAGGAAAAAATATTACAGAAGTACAGAATAGATTTCACCATTCCTAGATGAGATTAAAATGCGGAAGGAGTTACCTGAAAAAGTTGTTAACACTTCTCTATATACCAGATCTTCTAACAGGAGTCATTACCGCAAAGAAAAACAATCCCATTCAGGCATATTACAACATTCATTGCTACAAGTCTTGATTGCATTTTAAACCATTCCCCCAAACTAAAAACAGCATTTCTCCAAAATGATAATGATAGAACTAAATGATCTGTGCCATGTTGCTATTTGCTAAACATCAGTTTCTTAATATTTTGCATTATGCACAAAGATAGAGAAGATCAGGTGTTTTAATCTTTATTCTTTACTATGGAAAACAGGTCACACAGGAAAACAAACCATTTCAAGTATAGCACTTATCATAGAAAAGCAAAGCTTGCTCTTATATATGTTCTCTACTGTTCCCTGCATTTCACGTTGGCCTTCCTACACCGATACTCATCTTTTCCCTTGTAGATACTGGTAAGAATAGAGTCTGCTCCCATAAGTCTTTCAGCTGCACTTATTCCTTCCCCCCTCCTTCCCCCCCCCAATCCAACTTCATGCTTTCAAATCCAGGGAAACGGCCACATTTTAAGTCTCTCTGTTGGACTGTCTCTTCCCATAAATGAAGTAGTTGTATTAAAACTTTATAAGAGACAGGTGAAAGAGAGAGTCAGGAGGTATGAAGGGCACACACACATCCAATATCTACGATTCATACCATAACTCAAAATAGCTTATTATTACTGAGAATATATATTTAAGCTTTTACATTGGGTTATCCAAGAGGAAAAATACCTCTCTTCCAAAGCCAAAAAAATGCCATCTTCCCAGAGAAAGACTCCTACATATCATACACTACATAAAAGGGTTTGAGGCATACAGTGAACACTAAGCAATACTTGCATACAAAAATATCAAGATGACATGGTAACTTAGTAGAGCACAGAGTAAATTCACAGTAGCAAGGACGTAGCTTTTGCAATAAAAGCTGGTTTATGGGGTTCTGCTACATTTATTTTGTGTACATACACTCCAATTGACAAAGGCCCATCAATAGTGATGCATAAAACTCAAGAGGGGAGGAAAACAAACATACAAAAAAGCCCACCAACATTACTTACTTTTTTAATTGGAAAACATACATGACTTAAGTGAAAACTACTTCACGGTTCTCAATGATCTTAGCTAACTTGCAGTGGAAACAATAATAAAACTTTAGTAATTTCCAGAAAAGTATCCATTTCCCACCTTCACAAGAGCCAGACAACTTTTGCTAGCCAGTCAGCTCTTGGTGACTGACAGCCCTTGATGACTGACAAAAGGTAACATTCAGTACTTCAACTCAGCATGATCAGAACACTGGAGCATGAAGAACAGAATATATAGTTAAGTTTTTCTTTTTTTGTTTGTTGACATTTTTAAGCTTGTATTTAGGCAACAAAATATTTTGAAAAGTGTCATTGCCTACATGCTTATGAATTCCTCCATTTCTCATAGATGAACTGATTTAAAGCTATTTGTTAGATTAGATCAAACTGCAAGATAACCTAACTGAATGAAGAAATCAAACTTGAGTTTTTCAGTGTTTTGAAAACATGCTGAGGAGGATCCTACGATACCAAGTACTTCTATGGTTTCTTCCATCAACATGCATGAACGTACACACCAAGCTGCATCCTTCCCCAGTCAGGCATGTTATTTTAACTGGATTAGTATTGCTTATTCCAAACAGTTCAATCAATTTCGGGTTGGACAACACATTGCATAAAACATGGAAGTTTGAGCCCTCTTCTCAAAGGCAAGACCAAAACTAGTCTAGGTTTCAACTGCACTGCAACTGTGTTTGCCTTTGTCCCTACTACAAATGTCATGCCAGAGTTGGAGAAGAGTTGCATAAGACTACCATAGTACTATAATCTTCTAGGATCAAAGAGGTCCAAACCAGCCCTCACCTAAATCACCAGTGAGAAACAATCAAATGTAATTAATTCAGAACTGAATTTAACACCATGTCTCTGCAGGGTTGTAGCACAATTTCAAGAACATGTTGCAGGAGAAAGGTTACATCTTCATAACCAGAATTGTGGTATGTTTTTAATACTCATGTTATCAAGTACAATTCCTGCCCCAGTCCAAAGTGCAAACTAGTGTTTAAGATCCCTCTTTCCCCACTAATTATTAATTACAAATTTGACTTCTTTTCTTTAGTAAAACCAAAGGAGGAAAAGCTGTTGGCAATATAACATCTATGAAAACAGTCTTAAAATTAGTGGAGAATACTAAAGACTTTCCTTTTTCTTTCATTTGGCTAACTCATGCACAGTACCGCAGACAGGAAGGTACAAACTTTGTTTGAGTAAAAAATATATACAACTATATTTAACATTTAAATTAAACACAACTGTTTGCATACAAACAATCTTATGTACATTCAATTTTAAACAATACCTCTTTAATATCCTCTTCTTTTGTAAAACAAGTTTTATTTTTCCCACAAAATACCCAATACTACTTTAAAATTCTGGAGGGGAAAAAAATTGAGCTATAATTAAAATAGCAAGATACCTTACAATTGTAATGTATCATAACGCATACCTTTCATAAAAACTCACACATCTTTCAAAAACTGATCACTGTAAAATTCTCCTAAGTCCAACAGGACTGTCTTTAAAAGATTACTTTGGTTAACAGCAAATCATTCTCAAGCAATTAAGGAAAAAAAATATATTCTTTTACCACCTCTACAGATTCATTTCCATGGCATATTGTAACAATCCACACATCTTAATGGAAGACCACTTCAGCTGTTCGGTGCACTTTATTTGTACTCTGTTTTCAATAACAAAGAAGATAAATCAGGTTGGACATATTTACAATTAAACTAGTCCAACTTGCAAACATCTCTAGATAAGATCCCTCTTCCTAAGACTTTGCTCAGATCTTGGATATCAGAGAAAGAATAGCAATGCTACTTCTTCATCCTCAAAGGCTTGATCTCGTGCAATAAGATCTTGCAACATATTGCTAAGTTGTACCAAACCTCTCTTTTCCTCCTTGCCTATCCTGGTCAGGAAAGTAACACAACTTTCACCAAGCCCTACATATTATGATGTCCAGCCAGCCACATCAGCCTCTGAGCATTCAGACAAATGAAGTGCCACTGGAATTCACTGTAATACAAAGGTTTCCTCTGAATAGTAATGCAGATTTCAGGTCATGCGTGGTCTTTATATCACCAAAATTTTACTCATTTCCCAGGGAACAAACTCCCAACTTTTGGCCATCAACAAGAACTTCATCTTTCTTTCCTCCTTGCACTACAACCCTCTGATGCATCAAAAATAACAAACAAAAAGGCAAGAATATAGGATTCTCCAGGAAAAGAACACTGCATTAGTTGCTATGCATCAGTTAAGCTGAAAAGCTGAGAAGTCTGACTGATGAACCAAGGCACTTGGGTAACCATCCTGTGATCAACAGTCAATGAGTCAACAATTTAAGCCTTGTTATCCAACTGACCAGTAGCGAGGGCTCTGCAGAGGAAGATTTTGTGGATGGTGCAACAGGGGACTTCTTAGCACCTTCCTCTTGAAAAGGAATTGTTGCACTGTTGTGGAGGTCTGTATTCATAAAACACCTGCTGCCTCGAATGTAATCCATTCCCCTCACTAACTGCTTCTCGGACACAGGCCTTGAAAAGGGGTGTTGTGTGGAGGGACTTTCTTCAATGATTGGGGGTATCCTTTCATTACTGAAGTACCTGCAGAGGACATCTTCACCTATGGGAATGGAAGGAAGAAAAGCAATTACTGCTGGTTTCAAAACAACTATTATTCCATTCATATTTTTTATTTTTATAATGATCCTTAGAGACACTAACAGATTCTGATTACCTTTAAAAACACACCTGGACACAAACAGCTGTCAAGAAATGACACTTAGGCACTTTTTTTTTTTTTTTGAAAGCATTTAGCACACTGACTACATTGACTAATGTTGTTAAATCCCAGATTCTCTCATTCACACACACCGTAAGAGCCAATGTAGACTACCTTCACGTGAACTATAAGCCAGACCTAGAAAATCTCTGTGATATGTCATTCAAGGTGCTATAGGCCAGGGTTGAATCCATATTTATATACATGCAATCTTAAAAGCTACAAACATTACTTTGAACAACAGAAATTAATCTTGCAGATAAGAGTGTAAGCACTTCCTTGGTTTTTATGACTGATTTGTGATACTTGCTTGTTATTTGTTTTTTTTTTTTGTTTTTTTTTTTTGAACTCTTCCCTAGATTCCTGAACATCACTGCTGCTAGAGACTGCTGCTAGGTTCATTCTGTGTGTTAGCAACAAGCAAGTAAAAAAAAGAAGGTAAAGAAAAAAACACCACAGAATAAAAGCCCTGGGATGCAGTGATCATCCTGAGAGGCTAGCTACTTAGTGTGTTTCTGATATCCTTCCATGTTCATGCTTCTTGTTATCAACTTCTACTTCTGTAAAAATACAATTTTGCTTCTATTTTTCCTGGAATTACACATTCGTTTTCATAATTGATTTCAAGAATAAACTGAAGTCATCACACTTACTTCCCACTACAACAGAATTTGTAGTATTTCAGATATAAGGGAGTGAGTAAGAGGGAAGAGAAGGGCCCTGTAGGAAAGGAAAAAAAAAGCCAACTAATCTGACATCAGCTTTTGTGTCTCATCCCCTCTGGCATCTTCAGAATGTTGTTTTCTAACAGCAGCAAAAAGTAACTCCTAAAAGGTCCTACACTTTACTTCTGAGGAAAAAAAATTGCTTCTACAACAGCTTCCACAGTAAGCTAACCAAAGACTGATCAAAAAAGCAGTTTTTTTTAGTAGATCAATAAGATCCTCCCTTGCAAAAGAAAGGGAAAAGTGTGTAAGAGAAAAAAATAGTAAACCTGTGATGTAAGGAGACAAGTACATATCTACAGTAGTCATTCTCAGACTACTTTTCACATTCACATAAATTTTAAGATCAAAAAACAAAGTTTGAGCCCCAGCACTGAACAAGCTCACAAATTTCACAACTACCATCTGGCATTTCTGTTTAAAACAGTCATCTTGGATCAGTTCAACAGTATGCAAATGCTAATCCTTCAGTCCTAATTTAGGCAGTTCATCCCAACAAGATCCTAGAGAGGGATCTAGAAAGAGGATGAGACCTAAAATCTTGCCTTTTCTTCCTGGTGCTCGTGGCCTTGAGAAGGGTTCCGCAGCTGCTATCCAACTGCCATCAGCAGGCATTGATAAGGGACGAGGTTTTCCTGAAGGCAACAGAGTGAAGGTTGTGAGGAGTTGCATTAAGTTTGGAGAACCGATGTTTAAATTTATGCTTTTCACAGTTAAGCAAAGGGAGAAAGATACAGCAAAATATGCAGAAAAAATTGCAGAAATAAATATTTCAAGATACTTCAACCAATGGAATACAAGAAAGCACTCTGCTGAGATTAAACAGCTAGCTATACTCTTGTTCATTTACAGTGACAGTGGACATAATGACCATAAGTTATAACTACTACACATGTGGAAACAGACAGGAAGGGCATCAGTGCCCAGTTGAATGACATGCATTAAAGAAAGTGAAATTATTCTAGATGTAGAATTGAAGTGTTTATCAGAATATCAACACTGAAAGAGTAATGAACTCACCATATGACTGTGTTTTTTCTCTCATCTTAGCTGGCAGTATATTTGCTTCCATATGATATCCAGGCAGCTGATCAGAATCAGCAATAGTAAACCTTCTCCTTCGACTTTCTTGATCCAGAAAAGAATTGGGAGACTCGGCACCCTTGGATCCAAGTAATGGATGACTGGGTTTGCTGCTTCCTCCGTATAGAAAACTCCCCTTTTCATCTCTGAAAGGACAGTTTGCTTCAATTAGCAGCTTAAAAGGAATTTTACTCTGCAAGCATGAGTAGGTTTGAAAGATATTTTCTAGCCCACAGTCATGCCCCCGATAATGGGCATTATGCTGCAAACATGCTGAAGAAAAAAAAAATAGGTCAAGTGATGAAAAACTTCATTAAACATATTCAACAAGAAGAAGAGAAAGTTATCCTCTTCATGGTAATTCACCTTTAACAAGCCAGTAATTTAACAGAGAAGTTTAAAGGTTCCTTTAGGTACTAGCCCTAGAAAGCCTTTTGAGAATGAGACCTTTAGGCCCTAAGGGTATCAAAGCTCCCAGTTTACTGCCTGGTCATCAAACAGCTCTGGCAGAGGACTGCATTCAAAGGTTTATCCTAGTGCTAGTGACAAGATGCAGTGTCTCCTTTGGAGGGACTATGCTTTCCTATAATGTTAAGAGGCTAATAACTGATGCTGGACATTCACCTAATTCTTCATACAGAAGAGGGACCCCCTTGAGAATTTCAGTAATAAATTCATAGCATATATAAATGATTTTGAGCAATTTCTGCAGGAATCCCCTTCCTAGATCTAGATCCCCTTCCACAAATCTTTCATTAGAAGCACCCATTTTCAGAACCAGTTCTAGTTAATTTTTTAGAAGAAAAGGTACCCCTCTAACTTAGGATTTTCCTCTTTTTTTTTTTTTATCTCCTTGCCTACATACGCTATAGTCTTGCTTGAAGCAACTACCCAAGTCAGGCAAAAAATATTCATCTGGTTCTTTAAGTATGTGCACAGGCCAGTACTGACATTTTTTCCAATGCTAGATCTCAGTGAATAGGAGGAAGCTATTTATGGAGATTCGCAGACCAGAAATTACATGCAAGTGTTACACCACCACCACGCATAAGCAGACAGCTCTCCTACAACACCACCATGTGGAGAATACACCCTGGGGAGGACAAATAGTCACTAGTCTCTTCTCAGTGCCAGCAGTAAGTACTGGACCAGAAAAGGTCCACACCAGGAAAGAAGAAGAGGATGATGGGGGCAAAGGGTAAAAGTGACCACACAAATGTATTGCAATTTTAAAAGAGCAGCATAACAGGTAGAGGTGAAGTTAAATAACCAAACACAGTGAGAGAACTGTCCTTTTCCCTCTTCCTCACTGCCACAACTTCCCACATTTTACTTAAAGGTTGAAATCAAGTAGCAGTCCCCATGAGCCACTACCTTTTCCTGCATCATCCAGGACGAGTTTCCCAGCTCATACTGCTACATCCTTCCCTGCCAACAGGATTCAGATCCAAAGGTGTTTTAGCTAGATGTAATTGTACAACTCCTTAGGACAAATATAAGGAAACAAACCAACCACATGCACCTAATTCACGAACACATTTAAAATGTAATGATGCAATGCTATGATTCTGTGATTAAAGAGACCAAAACAATCTAAATTGAGTTGTTAACTTTGTATACTTGTTTTTCCACTGAGACTTTTTTTTTTTTTAATTAAGAATTGAGCAAGTATAAACATGAAAAATAGGGAAAAAGTAAGTCAAGGTCAGGTCAACTTCAGACCCTTAGTTTGCAGGCAACATTCCCCTGCCCTGTACTGCCCTGAAGACTACAGTAGTACAAACTCTGTCTTCAGATCAGGCCCTACATGACAGGAGACAAGCACTCCTCCCATTGAAGTCCTATAGCAAAAAGGTCAGCCAAGTTTCTGTGCAGAATCTACGTGTACACAGAGCGTCAGGGCAGGTCAGGAAGCACTCCCCGCCTGGAAACCCTTCTGTCCACTGCTTTCTCAGGTCAGATGGCAGGGTTCTGGCATTAGTCAATGAGGACTTAAGAACAAACAACAGTTAGCCATACCATAACCTTCCCCCTTTGTACACACAAACCTACACTTTTATAGTTTACACCATAGGGGAAAAAATGAGGTGGAGTGAACTGACTCTCCCTTCCCTTCAGTGGGAACATTCCTGTGTTATATAATTTGCAAGTTTAACAGTTTAGAACAAGTTCTTTTCAATCCTAACTATCTTAATAGTTACTAAACTTGCTAAACACAGCAGTGGAAAAAATGACAGAAAAATGACTTCCTGGTATGCATAGTCAGATTTAAACAAAAGTAAAAACATAACTTCATAACAAAACAAGGGACAACATCCATTTATGTTCTGGGAATTACTGATCTACAGAAGACAAAACAGTCTTCCAACAATAAAGAACTACTATTTTGATCCTGGTAGTTTATGCATTTAAGCACAAGCTTAAGTAATCTTAGATATTCAAGCAACTAAATGAAAGTATGCAATCTGCATTTTCAAACTAATTTTTACATAGCTCTAACTGCAAACTAGTCCATCCCAGGCTGGACGTGGCTCTGGGCAGCCTGGTCTAGTGGTTGGTGACCCTGCCCATGGTAGGGGGGCTGAAACTTGATCATTGTGGTCCATTTCAACCCAGCCCATTCTATGGTATGATTCGGTGAAACCAACTCAGAAACAAATATAATAAAGAAGGTTTTGTTCAGTATGTTCAATGTTTATTTACATACCGAGGAGAATATGGAACAGCTGGTGGAGGTGGTATGTACAGATCCAAAATGGCTGGCTTCTCCTTTTTCACTGAGGTGTCCATGGTGCTTTCTGGAGACTGGGTTGAAGTTGGTAGAGGACTGGTCTGAAACGTTAGATAGCTATCAGACATCTGTGCATTTATCATCCACAAAATATAAAATTAAACAATAGTATCATTTCATGCTTGTATAATTAATATGTTGTGTTTTGTTTTTTTTGTTTCTTGTTTTGTTTTTTTTTTTTAAAGCACATTTTAGCATTTTTTTTTTGCTCCTCATTTTGGTTTGTACTGCAGTCCTTCTACATAAATCCTACCACAAGTAGAATGCATTGCTTAGAGAGTATTTTGCTCCCTTCAGTTCTATTTCTCATGTAAACTCCATAGACAGAAAATGCAACAGAGAAACCCTGTTCTTTTATTTTCGGATCCATTAAAATAGTGTAATTTGTTAAATATATGCATGGTCTGCAGAACTTACAAAGTCAGTACATACTACATTTATTCCATACATGCTTCATGAACACTAGCAGGAATACAGTAAAATTTACCAACAATTTCATCAGGTGATAAAGGGAAGCAAAGCAAAAATACATTTGTTACTGTTCATCTAAGCAAGTTTAGCATTTGATCTTTGTGACTCAATTCAACGTCCCCAGAATCGTGTCAGGACCTTGTCTATCTTTGGGAGAGCAAAGGTGCACTCTTTCCCATTCCTACACCTTTTTTTCCCTCTTTTTTTTTTTTTTTTCCCTGACTCTGGTTATATGACAGACATCATGCCACAAAAACAAAATACATACATTAGAGAAAAAAAGTGGAGGGGACTAGAAGAAGAGTCAAGCATACATCCTGCACCCAGCCTTAAAGAATATGCATGCACTGAGACTTAAGATACACACTGATGTATCACAGGTTTGTAAGTTATCCTTACAGCTGTGGGAAGACATGTCAGAACAGAAGTAGGAATGGGAATTCTCTCTGGTTTTCTTTATTTCAGGTGATCAGTTTAGATTCAATTAGGATATTTTCTTCCAAAAGCATTGTCCTAAGCTTTCTGAACCATTTTGGGGAATAGCTAGGTTAAGAAATGGTATTAAAGAGTTATGAACACAGCTTTTGCTGCCTGCTTATTACTGAACCAGCAGATTGCCCAACAACTAAATGATATTTAAAGAAGTAGTTTAAATAACTTCTTAAAAGAAAATCTTCAGTCATTCCCCACTCTTCACCAGGCTAAAAAGAGGATGAGTATACTGGATAGTAAAAGTTATTTCAACAACAGAAAAACTACTATGCTAAATAGAAGAAGCCTTTAATATTCTGTACTGATGAATTCCATACATATTAGAATTTTCACCTCAGAGAAGTACTTCCAATGGCATGCTGATTAAAAAGGTCAACACAACTAGTTCCCTTTGGAGATCAAGAAGGACATTAACTGGCTAAGAACATTTTCCCTTTTATTTAGGGAATCAGAAGATGACAACCATTTCACATGAACTACCTTAACCTACACTCAAACACAGTATTTCTCTTTTTCAAATTTGAAAAAATAATAATAATAAAAAAAATAATTCACAGCCAGACATCACAGGTCTGTCAGAAGCCTATTACCTGCACTAAGGGTGGCTTCCAGCGCAGATTCTTCAGTGGAGCAGGGGTGAAGTGGAAAGAGCCAGTTGGACGTTTCTTGAGAAGCAGCCTAACTCCAGCAGGATTCTCTCGCAACTTTGCCACCAGATTTTTTAGTTGCCAGCCAACCTTTTAAAGAATAATGACATCTTTAACTTGATATTACTTCTCAAAAAGTGAATAAACAAACAATCCCCCTGCTAAATCAAACTCTGATTTTCAGTGAACCTAAAAAAAGATACAAAAAAGCCAAAACAAAAAAAAAAGTTACAAACCCTTTTTTTATAGGACAGTTTTAGGAGAACAAGTATAAGAAAAAGCGTGCAAGGGCTTCCTGTTACTTACCACAGTTTGCTGGTTAACCTGGATCACCTCATCACCAGCATGAATCTTCTGAGATCTATCAGCAGGGGACTACAAAGAAGAAAACAGGATTATGTGCTTCAGCAGGCTCTCCTCTCTCATAACAATTCCCACAAGACTAAGTTAAAGGTCGTATATGTGATGCAGAACATCACTGAAAATTTCCACAGATCACATTACATCCATCGATGACTTAAGAATTCTAAATTAATTCATCTTAGGATTTTTTTATTTTTATTTTTTAATACTGAGGGTACTAAAGGGTGAGGGAGAAAGCATAGACTACGTGTGCCACACATCAAACTGTACTTCATTCATAGAACTGTCTTCACCATCCTTTTATCTCCAGTTTGTACTGCAGTTCTAGACAGCATTAGCTGAGCTGCAGGAGACAGTCAAAAGACTGTGTACTATCAGAGTGGCAGAAATGGAGATAGACAGCTGGAGTCAACATGCAACTTATACTGAATCCATAGCCTGGGGCCAAAAGCCCCAGATTCCCCCATCAGCACAGTCAGAAGGCAAGCCAACAGTGATGACAAACAGGTAATTGCCACGAGAAAGAGTAACAGAGAAAAAAGCCAGCCTCAGAGCTTGAACCACGAAGCAGTTCTGCAGATTGAGGAGAAAAATGAACCTGTAACAGTTAAAGTCTGAGTAAAGTAGCCAGACCAGTTTTCCATTGCATAACAACCACTGCAACTAAGAAAATGCAATAGGTGATAGTGGTGGGTGATTCTCTCCTGCGGGGCATGGAGGCACCCATTTGTGGTCCTGATCTGCTACCTAGAGGGGCCTGCTGCTTGTCAAGGGCCCGCATCAAGGATGTGACAGAGGTTGCTAGACCTTGTATGTCCCACTTACTACTACCCACTGCTCCTGTTTCACATAAGCACCAGGGACACAGCTGTGAATATAAAGAAGGACTATAAAGAGTTTGCAGATGCTGTGAAGAATTTGGGAACAGAAGTAGCTTTCTCATCAATCCTCACAGTTAAAGGGATGGAGAAGGAAAGGGCTGACAGAATTAAGAAAATAAGTGCTTAAGGGAGCGGTGTCATGAACAGGGCTTCAGCTACTTATGTCTTAGAACTAGCTTTGAGAAACCTGGTCTTCTGGGGCCAGATGAGGTTTATCTTTCAGAGAAGGGGAGAAGCATCTTTGGCAACAAGCTCTCCAATTTAGTCAGGAGGGCTTTTAACTAAAGTTGCTGGGGGGAGGGAGGGAATGAGAGGATCCTCAATCCATCCCACTTTGAGGCTGCTGATGCTAATGGATGTTCTGAGCCTGGAGTTGGATCACAGGCCAGGAAGACAGCATCTGTAGAATAAGGGAACAATTGGTTAATCAGCCTCACTGGGAGCCAAACTCAAACACCTGTGCACTAACGCATGGAGAACAAGCAAGAAGATTTACAGACATGGATGTACCTACAGGGCTTTGACATCATTGACATCACTTAGACATGTGGGATGGCTCCCATGAGTGGAAAGTAGCAATAGACAGGTATAAATTCTTTAAGAAAGACAAGCAAAGGAGACGAAGAAGGAGCGTTGCGGTCTACATCAATGACTAGTTGAAGTATATGGAGCTCCACCTGGGGATGGATGAGGACCTGACAGAGAGCATACAGATCAGGGCTAAAGGGAAAGCATGGGGAGGAGACATCATAGGAGAGCCTGCTACAGACCACCCGACCAGAAAGGTCAAGTGGATGAGGCAGAAAGGAACAGCTTCACGGTCACAAAATATGGTCCTTATGAGGGACTTCAAACACTCCAATATCTGTTAGAAGGACAACACAGCAGGGCATCAGCAATCAAAGAGGTTCCCCAAATGCATTGACGATGGGCTTTGAGCAACCTGGTCTAGTGGATGATATCTCAGTTTATAGCAGGGGGATTGGAGCTAAATTATCTTAAAAGTCCCTTCCAACTCAAACCATTCTATGATTGTGAGAGAATTACAAGAGATTAATCCTGTGTTAGAACAGAAGTAATCTTAAATGCAGTTTTCAAGTTTATATTATTTCAAAACATAACAATACATTAATATTTTGAATATACAAGCCAGAGGACTAGGAATCCTCCAATCCACAAAAGACGATTGTTCCACTTCTCTTTGCTTTTTCCTAATTTAAGAGCTATCAACTTCAATGTTAAATTATTTGCCTGCATCATTAAAACCAACAGATAAAATATATGCCTATATACATCCAAGTGTGTTTAAACAGATATTTGAAAAACACCTTAAAGTATCTTTTTCTTGGAACAAAAAGCAAGTCACAGATACTGATTAGCAAGGAACAGATAAATGTGTCAATATTTACTCAAATTTATCTAGGGCTGGTGCCATGCACCACCTATTGCTGCAGTTACTAAAACCAATCTGTTTCCATTACATATCAATTATGAATAGCCTTGGCAACATACAAGTGCACAGGTATGCCAGCCTGGCACTCTGCAGGGCTTCTGCAGTCTATTCCCATTTCCCTTACTCAAGGCATAAAAGGCTGGTGGCACGCCAGCTCTCCCCCAGGATGCAAGAGTAAAGCAGCTGGGTAAAGGACTCTCTCCTTGTTACCACAACTTCAGAGCGGAAGTGATTTTTTTTTTTAATTAAAAGGAACTGTAGCAATGAACTGTGTGATGGTAGAAGATGACATGATGGAATTTACAGGAACCTACAGTTATCAAGAGTAACACTATTTTTTTCACTGTCTTCCTGCTTCCTCTGAAAGGAAATGACTCTGTGGAAGGCCACGTATAAGATGATTCAACCAAGACCATGAAAAATTCTGATCCACAGTTGAGCTGTGGAAAAAAAAACTCATGTCAAGCTGTCCTTTGAATGATTGACACCCTGGCTGTGGGAGAGTGGGAGACGCAGACAACCACCAGACAGCAGTCAGTACCACCATCACACTGAGACTGGAGGACAAAAACAAAGTTTAGAACAAGGCCAACACGAGGCAAGAAGTCACAGATAGGGTGGCATGACTCAGAAATCATCTTGGCTGACTTATAGCAAACGCATGGACTTTCCCAGTGATCTTAACGTAGAGTACTGTTATTTTTGGCATGCAATGCCACAGCATTCCAACCAGTAAGTTTTGGGAGATAGCTGCTAAAATATCATCCTGAACCTAACATGAAAACTCAGCTAAGACCCAGCCTTACCTAAATGATACCATGCCACTAGAAAGGCACCAGTTGGGTGCAGTTCTCTCAATTGCTTCTCAAGTTTTTTGTAACAAAGGAAAGAGCTTCCCCAAAGGAATAATGACTGTTCATAAAGTAAAAGTTTAGGCCAACACTCAAAGCTACAGAAAGAATACGGCTCCAGTCACAGCCTCTAGAAAATTATCTATGCATGCATAAGGAGCCTGGCATCGATCATCACATTCTTTCACACTTATTAAATGTTAAAATTGCTGTCAAAGTAGACTTTGTATTCAGAGTATTCTAAGTATTTCAGATCCTTTACACAGTTAGGCCAGGCCAATAGTATTAGAAGCTGGCAGCTATAAAAGCCTTCAGTTTTCACTCTGAACAGCAAGGCATATTTCCACCCGCTCCTCCCAGCCCCCTGGACTTGGCAAGGTACAGCTAGAACAACTGGTTCTTTCCTTTTTGAAAAAAAAAAAAAAAGTCAAGCCAAGCTCCTCAGCTTTCCTTCAGTATCTGTTCTTTAGAGAGGCAGCAATGAGAACACTGCAGCATCAGTGCAAGCTGCAGTTGCTCATGAAAGGTTCACTGCAATGACTTCCTAAAAACTACAGTTTCAGCTACACAGAGCTCAGTGCGAGAATAAAACAAGCAGCCATCTGCAGCAAAAACAACCACTGTTGTCTATCATGCTTGATCATTTCCTTCCAGCAGTTCACTCTTGAAATATTTCATTTCTTACTCTGCACAGTAATTTAGAATTGGACCATTCATTAATTTCATTATTCATTACTGAATTTAAGACAGAATCACCTAAGTGTTCTCACTAAGACAGATTTCTTTTGCCAGCAGAGAACAAATACATACCTCCATGTTTTTGTTAGGAGACCAAAAGTTCTCAGAACAGTAGCTTATTTAAGTAACTGTATTGATGCCAACCATTTGAAGTACCTCACCTACTTGCAGGAACTGGTTTAATTAGGCTAACAGTGAAACACACAGATAAAAATATTTACAAGTTCTTGATAAACAAATGATGCACCACACAGCATGTAAAGCAGTAATATCATGAAAGTTACAGGAAAAGCAGGAAAAAGCAGTAAAAAAAAAAAATCAAAGCTACATTCCGATAGCCTGAGGAATCTACATTTACTTCACTTACATTTTCTGTAGTGCCAGTAATTACATGTAATCCATCATAAGTTGATTTGATGTACATACCCTAAATGAAAGCAGAAAATGAAAAACAAATTTAAAGATAAAACAACCTTGTGTAACATATCTCATTAAATAACTGTTGGCAACAGACTCAAATTCACACATTATTCCATGAAAACTGTGCAATCCAAGACCACTAATATCACATCATTCTCAATTTTGTCACAGATTACTTCTGTTGTAATTACTTGCAATATTGGTATTTACTTAGAAAAACTAACATAAGGAGATGCAATTTACAAATAGTGTTTGGTTGGTAACACCAAACTCTACCAGTTTTGCTGTCTTTTCAGTCTTCAGTCTTGAACTAAATTACTTCCTTACTGTCCTGTCTCCATGAGAGAATTGCAAGCTCTACTAGATGGCCGCTAGTTCTCCTTACAAAGAACATTTACGCTACAAATATTATGTGTGCTCTTCTACAACTTCTCTCAGCAAGTGAAAATACAAGCTTTCTTGTAACCACAATGCTGATAAAATAAAAGCAATAAAATAGGCACTTGAATGGGCTGCCCAGGGAGGTGGTGGAGTTCTCTTCCCTGGAGGTGTTCAAGGTACGTTTGGATGTTGTGTTGAGGGATATGGTTTAGCGAGAACCATTGGTGATAGGTGGATGGTTGGACTGGATGGTCTTTTCCAACCTTAGTGATTCTGTATGTGATTCTGTGTGTGAAAAGCCCTGGCACTAGGATTCGTAGTTATTTTTATTAAAGTGTAAAGGGAAGAATAAGCACAGATGAAATTGGTGTTGACCATATGAAATAGAAGTCATCAACAGGCTAGTAACTAATAACTACACAGATTTCCCCACAGAAAGTGACCACTATATTGGTTTCACCACTTACAAACAAAACTACATCTCCTCAATATTCCTACCAGCAGCTGTTGCTCGAAATACTCACGTTTAGCTACATAACCACAGTGTTGTTCAGGAGTCATGTGCAGCTTATCTACCTGCAGTTACTACACTTGTTTAGAAGTGTAAGAAAACACACTAGAATTTTTTTTTCCATCCTCTCTAGTTGATTCCCTTTTCTGTTTACCTGTTGGCAGCCAGTTCTGTGCACCCTCCTCCTCATTTCTTGCTTAGTTTAAGCTTCATTGTAGCTTATCCAATAAAAAACAGCTCCTCAAAGTTTCACAAATTCATGACTGATTCAGTCAAATCCAGTGGTCTACATTAAACTACATATCATTGTTAGAGTGTAAGACTTCCTTTAACAACGTTCATCTCTTCTGTCTTCAGAAAGAGCATGAGAATACAAATGCACTTAGGCATTTAAATTTCCTCAAAACATTCTAATCCAAGTATTTCCCAGTCAGAAAATCTAATAAAATTTCAAATGCAGTTTCCCATAATCAGCACTCAGCTAAGTGGAATTCCCCAGATGAACTACACTCAGTAATATCACACAGTCACTGAACTGTGAAAAGGATTTCCCTTATTCTCCTTAACAGCAAATCTCAAAAATTCTCATATTTTTTAGCAAGACTAAAAAATACACAAAGAATATGTATTTCAGAAACACAAACACCATTTTTCATCGCCTTTTCCCTACCTAAACCCTTCCCATCCCCCTTTTGCCTCCACCTGCCAACAAACAAAACATCTGGTTAATATGTTTCCAGAAATAAAATGATCAATTTTCTGAGCATCTGTAAATTACCCAAAATTCTCATTGAGACATTAATGCAGCACTTTACCATCCAAAATTTGGAAATTATTAACTTGTACATACATCCCCACCTGCCACTCCAACACACAGCTTGACAATCTCCAAAGTTCCTTCCCCTGCTTCTGTTTCCTATAGGAAACTAGCAGTTTTGAAGTACATTGCTCTACACAAGTATGTGGTGCCTCACAAGAGTAAATGAAACATTACATGAAACATTAGGGATGCAGAGGTTGGTTCTTACCAGGCCTTCCCCAGGTCTAATGTTGGTTAAGTGAACCTCCTCCAGACACGCACACTGGCTCATCAATGGATCTGTAGTTGATCGGATGGCTTTATCACAAATTCCATTTAAAGTCTTGGACTGTAATGAGAACATACAGCAAACAGTTATTACAATTCTTTACTGGCTGCCACTTCTTTCAGTTTTCAAAAATACAAAGTAAATTAGTTCTAAACATTGGTCCAATAACAAAGCATAGTCAAGAATCACTGAAACAAAAGATTCATTTGTACATATCTAATCTGCAGCATGTTTATGTCCATATGGTAACCTAGTACAAATGATTTACTTTCATTAGTGTCACTTCATCACAATTAACAGTTGCCAGTACACCCTCTATTTAAAAAGAAAATAAACATGTAAAACACAGCAAAAAAAAAGTTTGATGTTCATTTTTATCAAAGAGTAGTCCATTAAAATCATGAAACATTTTGAAACATTATTTCTGTGGAAACAATTGACAATTTTTTATATCATTCTTTATTTCTTTTATGAGAATAAATTTGTCAATGCATCATTAATTTTATTTTTTTTTTAAATGAGGAGCTGGCCATTAACTTATCTACGGAAAGCTTTAGAGTACAAGGTAGGACATCTAGCATTTCAGTGTTTCAGCATTACTTCTCTCCACTGTGCCTCTGAGCTGACCTCTTCTGGAATGCTTATGCAGACAAGGTTCATATTTCCTTTTGACCAAAACACAACTGTTCCGAAGCCAACTTATAGCTAAAGGCATATTCTGACCTTCTGCCTGTGTCAGTAAAGTCAAAGGTAGAACAGCTTTGTCTTTCATAACTGTTAAGTAACAGAATGGCTAATTAATCATGAGAGCTATCATAGAAAATCTGAACGCTCCCTACACCAGCAAATTTCTCTAATGCACCACAGTGTGTTTTAGGTCTTCATGTTAGCTAAAGCAATGCTGCAACTCAAAGTATGCTACAAAAGCATAACATAGAGGGAAGATTTAGGGCACAGCATGGTACTTATTTATACACCATTCAGGAACACCAACAAAGTGAACCACCTTGCAAAAACAAAGATTTGAATTTTTCAGTCAAAGCAGGCATAAGTAATTAAGGGAGAAGGAGGCAGTTCTGCACATCTTTTGAATTATAATGGTCCCTAGAAACAATAGCTCCAACGTTCCTTCTTTTGTTTTACAACAGATTTATAGAGCAGCAATAAAATAAATCAAAACAATGCTTAAGTGTGAATACGAGGAACTGCTAGAACAAGGGAATTTCAAGCAACAATACCCACTCCATAATGGGCGTGCATAAACGGAAAAAGAGAGAAGCAAAAAACTCCCTTTTACGTGGTCTCATTATTTACAGAAAAAGTTATTTTTAGTTATTTTGCTACTAAATTCCTAAGCATCTATGAGCTAGCGGAAGGTCTTATCAAAGAGAACAGCCTGGTTCATGTCAAAAGCAGGAAGCGATGATTAACCGTTACAAAATATAAAAAGCATTCCATTGCGCTCCTCATTTGGTCATAAGGCTGCTTCAATTCATTCTGAAAACTGATCTTTCAAGCTCAAGTACAGACAGATACAAAAACTCACTTCTTTGTCAGGGCAGTTTTGCTTTTTCTTTTTTTTTTACATGGAGAAGCTTAATAAGGCATAGCATCTAGTTATTAAGGCATAAAATACCTCGTGATGCCTATTACAGGCATAATTGGTTTATTTAGTCTATAATGATTCTACAGTATTACCCTTTCTTTTAAAATATGAGGTCTAAATTCTCTTGAAGAATGTTTGTGCAATGAACTTCAAGGAAGACTTGACTTTGCACCATTACACATGCTGTAAGTCTAGTCAAAAATCTCATTGATTTTCTTTACAGTAAAGAGCATTACTAAAATGGCCAATAACATTTTATTTGCATGATGTGCTGGGATTTGGAAGGTTGTTGTCAGTACAATTGAAGTAGAAGCCACCAAAACAGATGTGAAAGCAAGCAGCTGAGTTTTCAGTAGAAATTAGTACTTACTACAGTCTGAACTTTATCTTCCATGTCAGCCACAGTGCAGTCCTAAAAAGAAAACAAAAACAATACTCTATGTTAACCAGTAAGTGCATGAACACAATCTCTAAAGATTCTTCAAAACTGACACCTTAACCTTGAATTTAAGTAGAGTCATTCATGCTGCAGGGATTAATCAGTTTAGTTTCACCCAGTAGAGCTCAAATGTACTGTTAAACAACTATTTTCTGGCCCTGTAGAAAGCAATAATAAACCCTTAAAACCAAGAACGTGGGATTCAATTACAGCAACAGACTTTACCAGAAAAACAGAACCCTGCATAATAAAGATGGACTTCCAGAAGACACACAAACCTGCACTGCACAATGCTGATTCAGCCATTTACCCGCTCTAGACAACAAACAGTTATAAAGTAGTTTGTTAAAAAAGGCAAGAAAAACTGTTTTTAAAAATACGCTACTGATAACATTCATCAGGACTGCACACAAAGCATTATTTACAAAGCCTAGGGACAAAAGTCTTTGAACTAAAACTAGTGCATGTAAAAGACTACATAAGTCTTCCTTGTTTTCACAGAATGGAATCATAGAATGGCCTGCATTGAAAAGGACCACAATGATCATCTAGTTTCAACCCCCCTGCTATGTGGAGGGTCACCAACCACTGGACCAGGCTGCCCAGAGCCACATCCAGCCTGGCCCTGAATGCCTGCAGGAATGGGGCATCCACAGCTTCCTTGGGCAAAAGGCTTTCTACAAGAACGGCTGAACTAGAGAACAGTATTACATTCTCAGATTAAAGAGTTAAAACAACAAGTAAATAATGAAACAAGATATAAAACTTAAATTTCAAGATTGCCATTGACATCTCAACCTGCATATCTATCACACAACACCCAAAAGATGCACTGAGGAGCTGTGACCTGAAGCCGTTCCCTATTTATGATCATTTTACGATCATTTTCAACCCTTCTGTTCCATCCCAGTTCTGTTTCGCGCTTTTTAAGACAGAACTTCAAAAAAGCATATAAGCCTCCAGATATGGACACAATAGGGATGTATATAATAGTTCAGTTGTTCTCTTTTGTTTTCAAAAGTAACTCTTAACACTGTTCTGATGATCACCAAGGACATATTCTTCATACACTTAAAAATGTACATCAGGTTGAGTGTTTGTTTTTTTTGTTTTGTTTTTAAATCTCATTCTCTTTTCTCCACGTGCCAGTGAGTTCATTTTGTTCATACTAATGCATTTGCAATATTCCAATACGAAGTAAGAGATCTTCTTTCTCCATTTATGTTTTTTCTCCCCACCATACACAGCAATTCCAGTCTCTATTACAGCTCCTGCTAAATTGGCAGAGAAGTGCTCTGCTTATTAAAGGGTAGAGTTGTATTTGCTAACTTCCATTCCACTGCCATCAAAGGCTGATTTAATTGACAGATTAGATACCATTTTTAACAGTTTTATTAATACAGTCCAGCAATCTCATATCTCAGTTCCTGTAGCACTCTTGGGTGTACACCATCTGCTGCTAGAAGTACTTACTATTCTACTACACAATCTGCAAATCTGTATCTGCAAATCACTAACTTGCTGCAACTGCACACACAGTGCCCAATCAAGAAGGGCGTTCAGCAGTAGGTGAGACTGGTGTGCCTTTGAAGTTACAATACTCAGATATTATTCTTTTACAACTAACCACCTGATAGAAATGGGGTGTCATCATAGCCCGATATCTCACAGGACCTTTCTATCCTTTAGCATCAGTACTTAAAAGCAGCTCATAATCAGAAGGGGGATGGACTTCTTACACTGCTTAATAACAGTAAGAGCAGGAGGAATGGTTTTAAACTAAAAGATCGGAGATTTATATTAGATATTAGGGGGAAATTTTTCACTCAAGAGGGTGGTAAGGTGCTGTCACAGGCTGCCCATAGAAATCGTGTGTGCTCCATCCCTAGAGGCATTTTAGATCAGGTTGGATGGGGCCCTAGGCAGCCTGATCTAGTGAATGGCAACTGCACGTGGTAGGGGGTTGGAACTGGATGGGCTTTGACACTTCCAATCCAAGACATTTTATGATTCCATGATCATCTCCCCAGAAACAGAGAGGGAATCACCTGTTTCACATGATGTGACTCTACAGAGTCCACACAATATACAGCCATGGACTAAACAGATATGAGCAAATTCTGCAGGAGCTGAAGAGTGCATGTAACGTTTAACTACTAGAGTTAAACTCTGCTGACAGTATGCCACTGCTTCAGAAGACAGGCAATATTATTCAGAGAACAAAACGATGCAATTTGCCAAGACTCCCACAGTTTTTAAGTGTCCTTTTAGCTATTACCAATATAAGTGCTCATGACACTGATAAATAGAAAGTTTTGAAACAAAACACTATAATCTCCCACTACTGTCACAGAAGCCTGACTAGTGGAATTTTTATCATAAAGGTGGCAACTCCTTCTGTTATATAGAACATTTCTCATCTGACAGGAATAGGTTGAAATACTATATATGGGACAAAACCTAAGAAGTCTGCATATGTAGGCATAACAATCACTGAAGTAATTGATGTATGAAGTATTTATTGTATGTATTATAAGGAAGTAACACATTTTATTATGTATTTTAGTATACATACACGCAAACAACATGTATTTTCGATATGTTATTTGGAACTTGAAAATCTCCAAATGCAGATCAACTATTTTAAAATCTAACAGTCTTCCCACTGAAACTGAAAAAAATGTGTAGTTTTTAAATGACAGTCATTTACAATACAGCCAGCAATTCCAAAATTGGAAATTAAATGAAAACAAATCATCTCAGAAAAACGGTCAACTGAAACTGACCTTCATGGAATTGTTCAAGCTTTGAAGTAAACTCACATCTGCATTCCAATTAGTACTCAGTATACAGCACACATTACTTCCCCAAACACCCACCTCCCCTTTTGGAAAGCAGGGAGGAAAAGAAATCAGCTGACCTTCTGAACAGTAGTAGTAAGATCCAAGCAGAGCTGAATGATTCTGTTTTTCATCGATGAAAAGTCAGCAATACCTGTAAATGGAGTCCTGTAACAAGAGAAAATTCCTCTTAGATTGTGGAGACTTCTTCTATTTTACCACAGCACTGAGGAACAGCATGAGTCAGAGCTACACAAGTGTGAGGACAGTTTCACAACACAAGTATTCTTGACTCTACTTTCACTTCATTCCTGCACCAAAATTAGGGTATGGCTAGCAATACCCCAACGGTGAGCAATTTCAGACAGCAAAATTCAGTCCACTTTCCAAACACCAGTTTGAAAATACCAACTCAAGTTAAATCATACTAACACTGCTGTAAAAAAATCACAGCCTTTGGTTTGTCAGGAACTAGTTTTCTATCTTCCAGTCTTTGATTACTGAATTCAGATAGGAGAGAAAATTAAAATTAAAAAAAGAGTGGAGAGAAAGTTCTATGAAATGTATTATTTTCATTCAGTGAAAAATAGTATGCAAAGTTTATCTTATGTAATGTATTTATCTTATGTAATGACTTGCTTTAAGTGAAAAAAAAAATGGCTTTCATACAGACAAGTTCAGTAAGGCTGAACTTCATAAAAGACTTTATATGGAGGCACTCACCTCAGACCCTCCAGAGAATTTAAAGGACTCAGGAGTAATCCCAACTGGTTTGAAAATGGACATGCCAGTCACTTGTTGATAGAGAGTTGCAGAAGAAATTTAGGGCAAGGTTCAAGCAACATGGTGAAATGGGAAGACTAGGTGAGAGGCACAACTTGTTAACATCGCTGCAGAAATATTCAAGGATAAAAGCTCTCCTTGCTGACAGTACTCATGTAGCTCTCCTCCTAACCTTCCTTCTCAAAAAAGATGGCAAGGTGATCAAGAATTCACATCTTCACATCTTGCTCGGCACAACAGCTAGTATGCTATCAGCTCTGTTGCCTGTTAGCTTCTGATGCAGCTGTCACAAAACAACTCTGGCTCTTGCCAGAAAAAAAGTAAGAAATAGCATAGGGAAAGTTCACTTTTTCAGATCACAGAGCTAAGGTCACAATTTCAGCAGATTCTCTCTTTTCTCTTTTTCTTAGGGACTTGCCAATGACTTTTGATGTATAAGGTGGGAAGACGAAAGGAGGAGGTCTCATACATATGAGAAACTAGTCCTGAAAATAGGTTGTTTCCCCTCAATAAGACAACTCTCACAAGAGTTTCTCACAGGTTTTGACAAAAATGGAAGCACAAGAATAGATGACTTAGGTTATTAAATTCATTCAGAGGCCTCTTGACAAAGCAAAAAGCAAGATCAAGAACATCTTTAGACCTAGACATGTAGAACTTACACTGCAAGGAGAAAGAAGTTTTAACAGAAAATGGAAATACAAGGATTTTATTCTTTTTATTCTTACCTGTCCAACCATGCAAGCAGGGCCTTAGCAGCACCAATAAGCTCTACCACAGAAGTAAGGAATTCATTGGGGGGCTTGCGTGAAGTATTCCCATCATAATTTGAGCTTTTTCTACGGGTACAGATGTAATTTTGCAGATTGTTGGATGATGCGCGCAGCTTGAGAACCAAGTTCTTCATATTGTCTGTTTCAAGGCCATAGTTCTGCAAGAAATATTATGAATATGATCAATTTCCTTATTTCTTATTCCACACATGCAAACTCATCTGGATTCAAAGGTCAAAGGATATGCCTTTTTATTTTGAAGTGGTCCTTTTCAACCCAGGCCATTCTATGATGATACATCCCTAACATTTAAGTTGTTTCTATGCATTTTTAAATCATATGAATTTCAGTTAATCCTCAGCATACCTTGCCACACAGTGGCAAGCTGACATTCTTTCAGAATGTATGGCATTTCCGTGAATTTTCTGGATAGCAAGTCTGGCTGGATTTGAGATAGATGAGGTAATCCTAGTGTTATCTTCATTTGGTACAAACAGACCTTTTACTGGAAGGAACAGTTCTTCACTCACCTCCCTAACATCCAACACTTTGTAGATCACCCTTGTCTTTCTTATATTACAAATCTTAAATACTTGATCACTTTCTAAGATTCATTCTGCGTTACAGGCACTAAAGGTTTTTCTGGGGGCCAGATCTCCTCAATTTTATTGAAATTAATGAGATTGAGGACATTACTCCACCAGAATAAAGCCACAAAGTCAGATGAGTCCGATGTCATTTACTCTCCAAATGTAGTTTAAATAACATGGTTGCTTTGGTTTTCTTTTTGTTGAAGGAAAATAAATACTGTTTTCTCTAAAAATGTTTTTATACTGTGATATATAAATAGTGAAGCAACATTTCATTCACAACTGAAGACAGTTTAAATTGGCAAGAGATAAAAACATCTACAGGAAGTAAATGTAATTTCACAGTCAAAAGCTGAAATAAATATTTGAATCACAAACTTTCAGTAACTATGTTCCATGATTACAGCAGTGCATTTGTTTGCAGGTTCGAGGACTGCATTAACACTAAACTTAGTAATTAAACCCATTTTTACATGTTATATTTTCACTCAACAGCATCTTTGTAAAAGTTTTTAAACCAAACAGGTCTGCAAATCCTAGCGGTAACCCCAACTTTACACATCCATATGCAACCATATCACACTTCTTAAGATTAAAACAATTGTTTTAAGCAACGCATTGATTGTATCATTCCAAAGCTATAGCTATACACTATAGCTGCTCTGAAGACAACTCGCTCGGTTTTATAACCAAGATTTTTTTCTTGCTGTCACTGCCATTAAATAGCAATATGCTACTGACTACTTTCTTGTTTTTGACTTATCCTACCTTGTGGTAGGCAATACTTAGCTCTTTTAGACTGAGGACTCATACCCCTCTTAAAAAAAAAAAAAAACACAACAACATGCCTGCTTTTCTCGATTCTGCTGACACAGATTCTTGTTACCAATCTCTATGTTCCACAATGTAGTCAGCTGTATCATTCTTTATCCCTTCCTCCTCAAACAACTAAGCCAGCTACAGCCAACATTAATTTCATTCTACTCCAAGTTTCAAGGAATTCCCAACTCCTCCATTTCAGACCACAGCATCATCCAGGCTGGCAAGGAGCTCTGGAAGTCTCAATCCAACCTCCTGCCCACAACAGCCTCAGCTGTGAGCTCACCACAGGTTGTTAGGAGTTTTATCCAATCAAGTCTTTAAAATCTCAAAAAGCCAAATGTTCTGGACAAATTGATCCACTGCCTGATTGCCCTGACCAATCTGGTGGCCTTCCACTGAACTGCTTTAGTATTGTCAGCATCTTCCCCATTCTTGGAGGTACAGGGGGAATAGGCAGACTAATTGTGACAAGTAATGGGTGATGATCACTCCTCTCCAAATCCTGGCCATGCTCTCAGGATGCTGCTGACTTCCTTGTTGCTAGGACACACAGCTGGCTTATGGCCCCATTCTTACCATGATCAAAGGCCCATAATACAAGCTGGAGTGCTTTAGAAAGTTAAGAGGTTAAACAAAATCTTTACTCAAAAATACATCTGTGCAAGGAGAGGTTTGAACTAAGTTACCTTTAAAATACTTATACTTCCTATGTAATTTGAACTCACTGGGATGTCATCCATACACCCTCCTCCCTTCCCTCAGGGCTCTTGGCAAGGAAGTACTCCTGCACAGGAGCAGGGGTCAAGAGGATATATCCAATAAAACAAACAAAAGCAAAACATTGTTGCACCAGCAGAGGATATCCTTAAATTTTTCAGGATCACAGACTCGGAAATATACGGATTAATAAACAATGTTAAAATACTTGCTTACTACCATATGTAAACTTACCACCTTTTAATTTAAAAAAAAATACACAAGAATATCATTCAGATTCACCTCTTGCAATCTTTTTTTTTTCCCCTCCTCTGTTACAGGACAATGCAAATTACTTTATTTTTGGAGGAATACTTTGGTACCAAAAAGTTTGGCCATACATTCTTTTGGCAACACAAATTTGAAAGTAGCTATGTGCCAAAATTTTCCCCCTTGAACAGAGGAATTAAAGGATGCTGGCCTCCCTCCTTCCATAAGTGGACAGAAAATACAACTTCTCTTTTTTTTTTTTTTCTCCCCTGTAGAGTAGTAGAACAACCTAATCAGACAACTTAACTCTGTTTGAGAGAATCTTTGTACATTTAAGTATCTCCAAAATTCTGTCAATTACTCAGGTAAAGAAGTCGTGCTAATTATTTTGTAAATGTCTGTGATTAAAGATGGCCCTAGCACTTAACAGTACACTTCTTGATATATCAGATCCGATTTCATCTTTGTTCCAAAATATTTATGTTCTCCTTATCACACCTGTTTCATCTTATTTACAGAGTGAGTCAACCCAGCGTGACTTCTCCAGTCCAGTTAGTTTTTAAAGAACTCCATCAAATAGATCTCAATTTCAAGGTGGATTTCAGCAACACAGGCATTGTATCCAGAGATACAGAGCCTCCACCTTATGACTGCAGCTGGTCTGCTCAGCAGTCTCTCAGGAGTACACCACAGCCAAACTTTTCAGTTGCTGCACTAAGCCTTTCTACAGCTTCTTCCAGAGATACTACAGAGGGCAAGTGAGATATCTATAACACCAGTTCATGCTTTAGGAAATGTCCTGGCTAAGAACTACATCTACTCAGCAAAACAGTGAGCATTATAGCTCATCAATACAGGATATCAAATTCTTCAACTTCAGATTTGCCCTGAGGAATGAACATTTCAAGAACAAAGGGGTCATCACAACTTAAACCATCCCTATTCCAAAGGCATCCTGACCTGTTTTCTCTAACACACAGAAAGCATTATGCTCCTTCACCAGATACAACTTTGCCATTGTGCACATTTTTCTGTTCGCTGGCAAAGTGAGAAAACAACAAGTAATTAAAAAAAAAAAAAAGTACATGCTCTGGCTTTTATCCTGTCCAAGCTGACACTATCTTGACGAATCCACAAATAACCAGCTATTTCTTCTTCATTTGCAGTGTCACTCTTGCTTGTTGAGTCTGTTGAAGGGTTGCTTTGCAGCACACCACTTAAAAAAAAAAAATCACACCCTCCTTTATTGTATTGTGTTCTGAGCTGGTTTAGCTCCCTGAAGTGTCTCACCTCATCATCAGTTGACTGCAAGCAGAAAGGATACTAATCAGAGAACGGAAAAGGTGGGGGGGAGGAAGGTGGCAGCTGAGTTAAACTAATTTTAATTGTCATGGAGCTGAAGCCTTAATTCAGGACAGATAGGAAAGCTGATACTACAGCAGCACACCAACAGCCTACAAGCCTTCACAGCAACACACAACTGACACATAAAACTCACGCTTTTCTGAAGCATTCTACATTAACAGGTTATAATATTTAAAATGTTATTATTTAAGTAATCAAAAGGTTTTAGATGTTGTTCATAGAATCATAGAATGGCCTGCATTGAAAAGGACCACAATGATCATCTAGTTTCAACCCCCCTGCTATACACAGGGTCACCACCCACCAGATCAGGCTGCCCAGAGCCACATCCAGCCTAGCCTTGAATGCCTTCAGGTGTCCATACGGGTCATGGACCACAGAAGGTTATATTTTAAATCAAGAGCGGCAGGAAAACATCAAAGTTACTCTCATCAAAACAGGAGCTGAAGCCAACAGTCAAGAACACCTTATGGCAAACATGCCCAGCCTGTTACTCATTAACCTGGGTAGCCACACATGGGACTATGGCAAGAGAGAGCATGCACAGGTGCACAAGAGAGCACACGGACAAGAGCGTGCTCTTTCCAAACCCCATTATATTTAATGAGAAATAGTACACTAACCAAACAGTTGCTCAAGGTTGAAGCACTAAAAAAAAGAAAAAATAAAGTGTGGTTAACCAAAGTCAAAAGAGCACTGCAGTCACGTTCCAGCTGACCTAGGCTGATATAGAGCCCTGCTGTTGCCAAGGGACACCTTCCCTTTCACAACCATCTTCAAATGCTGCAGTGCAAACAGCTGATCAGATTTTCTGGCTGATCCAGATAAAAACTAGCTCAAGAAAAAAGTGGATAAAAATAGGCTGAATGCCTGTCCAATAGCTTATACAACACTCTATGCATACATAAACACTGGACGCAACACAAGGTACTGTCACTGTCGTTTACTTTCCACTCTCCTTTTTAATAAAAATGTTTCCTAAAGAATCCTCTGGAGTTTGAAACTTCCTCATAAAAATTTGAGACCTCTAGAAAATTGAAATCTTACGAGATGATGCATAGGTGTGGTACTTTTGATAAGGAAGAGCCACAGAAATCTAAGGCTTCACGTATGTAAACTATCGAGCTTGGGATTTAAAAGTCATTTTAGCAAATGACTTTTTACAGAGATGACAACAGTATGAATAAAATGCAAGAGTTACTTGGTAGGATGACCTCATGGTATGAGTTTATATGTTGCTGCATTGCTAATGCGCTGCCATTACTATCAGTTCTATTATTAAAAGGTACAAAGCTAAGAAAAAAAAAGTACGTTCTGGTATGCTTTTGGTAGTTATATTTTTGTTGTTTTGTTCTGTTTTTTAATTAATTAAAATCAGTATCTTCATTCAATCTTCATTCTAATCTCAAAAAAAAAAACTTTGGAAGCAAAAAAAAATTAGTTCCTATAATACAACGTAGTTAAAGATCCAGAAATCTAATCCAAAGAACACATTAAAAGTCATTCTATTTGCATATAATTTCCTGTTAATGTTTGCATTATTTTATGTTTATTAAGCCCAAACAGGCAAGGCAACTCATCAGGGAACAGTGAGTAAACATTCAGTTTCATCACCATTCCTTTTTGTCCCAATTATTCAAATGGACTGAGAGAGCTTATTTTCCAGGATTCTTATCCCTCCTTTTGTGGTTTTGCATGAGTTTAAAAAAGCATATTTATGTATATTTGTTCCTTTTCCACCAAACAGTTCAATCAACAAAGAAATATCTTCCACCCATCCCTTTCCTCACTCAAGCAAATACTGTCACCACAAAAAGACATTCAGAGGCATTCATGCTGATGCGGTTTGGTTTCCCCCTCTGGAACGTTCAATTCTTTTTATATGTTCTCTAAATACCTTAAATAAGTCTTCAAATAAGTCTTCAACATCTGTTCAGGAAACCAATTCAAGTGCAACAGAAATGTGTGCTCACAAGAAACCTTCACTTCTTACCCCTGACCACACTCTTTCCTGCTGCCTCTTCAGTATCAGCTTTGTGGCATATGTTGCTGCTAAGGAAAGATTAGGAAATGCTGTCTAAAAACTGAAGTGGTTGAGAAAGATTTGTTGGGGTCGTTTTTTTTTGTTTGTTTGTTTGTTATGTTGCAGCAGTAAATATCATAACTTGCAGACATTTACAGCTTGACAGGGTAGAACTCACACATGGGGCTCTATCCCTACAAAATCTAAGTGTATTTGGTGTACTTCCTCAAGGAGCCCACTATCTTTTTACTATTTTTTCCCCCACCAACCTAATGAGTTTTGGAAAAGGTGTATGCTTGAGAAGAGTTTCCATAGGAGGAAGATGTTCCAAAGGCAGCTACTTCACTGCTTTTGGAGTCTCAAGTGCTACCGCAGTGTAAGGAAACCAAAGCTTCAATCTGGAGGAAGTTGCTAGGAACTAGTCAAAAAGATATCGCCATTCAGAGGGACCTCAATAGACTTGAGAGGTGGGCCTGAGTGAACCTAATGAGGTTGAACACAGCAAAGTGCAAGGTTTTGCACTTAGGCCAGAGGAATCCAAGGCATTTATACAGACTGGAAGGAGCGGACCTTGAGAGCAGCCCTGCAGAGAAGGACCTGGGGGTCCTGATGGTTGAAAAACTTAACATGAGCCAGCAGTGTGCTCTTGCAGCTTGGAGAGCAAATGGTATCCTGGGCTCCATAAGAAGGGGGGTGGCCAGCAGTGACAGGGATGTGATTGTCCCCTTCTACTCTGTTCTTGTGAGGCCCCATCTGGAGTACTGTGTCCAGGTCTGCAGCCCCCAGTACAAGAAAGACAGGGAGCTGTTGAAGAGGGTCCAGAGCCACAAAGATGATGAGGGGACTGGAGCACCTCCCCTATGAAGATAGGCTGAGGGAGCTGGGCTTGTTCAGCCTGGAGAAAAGAAGGCTGCAGGGTGACCTCACTGCAACATTTCAATACCTAAAGGGAGCCTACAAACGTAGGGGGAATCAACTCTTTGAAAGGGTAGATAACTGCAGGATGAGAGGAAATGGTTTTAAGTTGAAGGAATGAAGATTTAGGTTGGATGTCAAGGGAAGTTCTTTACCAGTGGAGTGGTGAGGTGCTGGAACAGGCTGCCCAGAGAGGTTGTGGATGCCCCATCCCTGGAGGTGTTCAAGGCAGATTGGATGGGGTCCTGGGCAACGTGGCCTAGTACTAAATGGGGAGGTTGGTGGCCCTGCATGTGGCAGGGGGGTTGGAGATTCATGATCCTTGAGCTCCCTTCCTACCCGGGCTATCCTGTGATTCTGTGCAAGTAAATTCTTCTTGAGAACAGCAAAACTGAGGAATGCCCAAAATACCCACAACGCTTCCACCTATCACCAAAACTGACAACATTTGAAGTCTTACCTCAGGCTGGCCCAATCAGTGCTACACATTCACAGTATAAGCCAAAAGCATGGTGAAAAGAAGAAAAGCTGAGTTCCTGAGTGCCTTTGATTCTAATGAAAGCTCACAAAAATTGGGGAAATGTCACCACATAGACACACAAAAAAAATTCAAAGTCATATTTATATCCCCAACCCACTTTCATAGAAGTAATACTAGTGGAATAGAGAAAACCTCTGTTCTCTCAAACAGAACAGAGACAGCAACATTTAAAAAAAAATTGTCTGTCTCTAGAATTAAAAAGAAAAATTGTCTGTCTCTAGAAGACATCTCTTGGGAAAAATAAACACTGATTTTCTACCATTATCCAAAAAACTGAAGGGAAAGGGTATGAAGAAGGTGACAAAGGGAATAGCTTAAATACAGAAGTTCTTCCTCCTCTTCTTAAAAGGAAACAAGGATATTTCAGCTACAATATGTAAACTCTGTCTAATGCATTAACTTGAACTGCATTTCACAAAGGATTTCCAGAAATGAGACCGAGGTCAAAACTTTTGTCTACTAAGGAAATTAGAAGGAAATTGTAGGAGATAGAACACAGCTTTAGGTTCTGGCAGTTATCCAGCTTTGTTCATTTTATTCTAATATTTTAAGAAGAAAGAAGGAAAAAAGTGCCTTTGAGAGCTGCCACATCCATTATATCAGTCAAGACTGTACACTGTACACTTACTAATTCACCAGACTCCTTCACTTGCCCAACAGATTATTCCTTGCCACGTGAATCACATGCAGGCTAACTCAGTTCCTCTATTTTAGTTTTCTTTTAAAGTTTAAAAAAAAAAAAAAAAAAAACACAAGAAACAACAAGAAAAACCTGCTTATCAAATATTGAAAAGAAAATAAAAGTTTTGGTAAATGTAAGAACAACTCTTGGGGAATTGTTTCAGTCTGTGCACAGTTGTTTTATTAAACACACTTCTTCAGTATATACTATGCAGTATCTTTGTGGTTATGAATAGAAATGATGCCCATAGCACCTCCCTGCTACACATAAAGCACGTGTCACTCAGGCAATAAAGACTCTCCATTTTTAGAAAAACATTCTCTCTGCTGTAAGATGTGCCTGACAAACAGAGGGCAGGCCAGTACTGGCCAAGGAACCATAGGGCAGCCTCTGCCACCCCTCCAGCTGATGTCATTTGTATATACTATCTCTGGTGCTCACTCACTGCACTACATCAAACACATCTTCAAGACTGTGTTCAAATTAGAGCTTTTAAATAATGCCTGCAGCAGTGATGCGGCATAGCAAAAAAAAAAATCTGAAATATATTTATTCATTTCAGAGTATGTTTGTTTTAAAAGCATCCACACAGTAATATAAGAAGGGTAATACGGAGGAACAGCTTACGTTCCAAATCCAATGAGTTGAATTCACACAGTTACTTAGCAATCAAAAGATCCCTTACTTCAAGAGCACTTATTTCACTTTGTATGTAGACTACAAAATCTTGTCCTATTCTCATTTCAGCTGATGTGAGAAATCACTAATAGCTGTCATTTCAACAGCATGTGTTCCATCCATTAAAACAAATTCACCCTACTCAACAGTAATTTTAATCACAGTTCACTACCAGAAGCCACAAGATCTCACAATGCTACTCAGCTAACACTTCTTTAGAAATGCTACTGAATCAGCATTTCCACTTATCAGAAAAAAGTCAAAGAGCTATAACACAAAGCCTGCAAGAATTAAAATTACTGCTTTCTTTTGCCATAACGCGTAACAGAAAACAAGCGTGAAAGGCATTACAATTTCACTAGACTAGCTTTAGATATTCAACAAGAGAAGCATCTAAAGAAATTCTTTGTCTGTTCACCACTTCACTAACCAGTGCACACAGGAGATCCACAGCTTCTAAAACCAGTTCCTGGTGTCCAATCCGTGTGATACCCATATCTTCAAGATCCTGGTGAGAAATCTGTAACAGCTGTTCACCATTTATCTTCTCCCGTTCAAATTTGTGGACGTACTGCTGCAGGCAATCATCCAGGCCTAACAAAGCACAAGAGAGAAGGGGACTTGATTACAATTCCTGTATTTTGTTTCCCCTCCCCATACCATTAAAAAAAAAAAAAAAAAAAAAAGAAATTACAAACAACATGTAGTGTCAAGTTATCAAAGAAACTTGCAGTGAGCTCAAAGATTGAAAGATCCTCCAAAAGGGTACAGAGATGGAGTATGCAGATTTTGAGGATCTTGGGGTCACCTGTGTCGATATATAACCTGTTTACTCTTCACAGATCAAGCTAACGAGGTAAGAATGTGTCTCTTTGGTGTCAGCACAAGCAAAGCTATCAAGAGACATGCACAGATTCAGCCCTTAATGTAACCCTAACCATGAAGAAAAGCATTGATAAAGAACAGTCAACCAAAAAAAGATAAACACAAGGCAAGAAAAAAACCCAACATCTTGCCCAATGCCAGCTAAACAAACAAACAGAACAAAAATCCACAGTCCCCCATCCACTTCTAAATAAAACAGCTGAATGATGTGAGGAAAATGGAACAAAAAAAAGGCAAAGCAACCAACACAATGTAAGTCCCAAGTCTGACTACTTGCTTGATTTATGAGCCCCTACAGTTTCGTGAATCAATCGCTCTTTCCCCCTTGTAAGTTAACAGCACGCATCAATAAGAAATTTAATTTCATTTTTGTAGCTACAAAGTATTTTTAAAACAGTTAAGAGCATTTTATCTGTCACACCAATATCCCTGCTTTAAATTATGATTGTATGATCCGGCTTTCTCTACAGTACCTCTTTCCCGCTTGTTGGTTAAACTGATTAGAGAAAGGATTTGCCTTTCATTTAACTCAATTGTATATGTTAAATCTGTTTTCCCATCTACAGTGCTTGTTTTGACCGTTCTTAAAGATTTTGTGTATAGCAGTCTAGGGAAAAACATTTGGGTGCCTGTGTTATTTTAAAGACAAAGTACTATTCTGCTCCAACATATTAACAAGAGCTAAAGGAATAGATCCAATTAGATTTGTTTGGTAGAAATGCATCATGCTTACTGAAAACAGTTGACACAAACAAGATTCAGATTACATACTTGGCACCTGTTTTGTAGCATCTACAATAACTATGTAACTTCACCAATCAGTTTTTAAAAATTGAACTTGTAACTGTAAAGAAGATGTTTATCCACTGGGTTGGATGAAGAGGAAGACGTGGAGAGGGACTGCTAAAGATGAGGAACACTGATAGTGCTCTGAACTGCAAGGAAACAAAAGACAGGAGACAAGAACTCAGTTTAACTCATCAGGGTGCAGTAGCAGCCTGGAAAGCAAGCACCCCAGTGCATGCCAAGAAAGCAGTCAAGACAAATCACATAGGGGGCCCAAGGGCCCACATCTAACATGTTTGCTTCCTAATGGCAGGACAAGCCACTACTACCATACGCTCTCTGCTCACAGAAGATTAGAACTCTCTTTGGCGCACACTCAACACACATCACTTGCCTTTATAACACTAACCAAGAAATAAGGATGGACAGGCTGGCACTTAACAGTCACCCCTTCATGTGTCTCATGCAAGCTTAATTATTGCAACACATCAAAATCTGGCTGGACAGGCTTGATTTCTCCACGTGCAGAGCTATTGGTGTCTACAGCTTGAATTTTATGAATAATTATGAATGTGAGATCCCGCATGCAAGATGAGTGCAGTCTCCCAGAGCTACAGTTGTTCAGGGCGCACTCTCTCTTTCCATCTGTCTTGGCAAGGCCTCATAAATCCTGAAAATTGAGCCCAGCATTCTGTTTCCCACAGGCACCAATTTCTCCCTTAGGCTACACAAACTCTTTTCCCAGGAAAAATAATAAAACGATCTAGCCTTCATTGTTTAACAATTTATTTTTTTAAAGCAAATTCTCAACCCAAGGCTGACATACAGAGCACATGTTTGGCATTCCCAATTTTTAATGCTGTCTTGCAGACCACTGTTTCCCATCATTTGCCATTGAAAGCCCATAGTTCCCATTATATACCGCACAAACACCTAGAATAAAATGCTAGTTAGCATGCAACAAAATTTTTACTTTTCAAGTTTCTTGGACACGCTGTTGTTTTTGCTTCTAGCCTTTGTGTGTGTCGATTCAATGTCCTGTGCTAAAACACGAGACTTAAAAAATATATATAACCCCCAAGGAATACAGCTATGTTTTTCAGCTTATCTGTGGGCTTTTGCTTTTTTTTTTTAAAAAAAAAACACTTTCTTTTTCTTTTAATTCATGCTTGTCTGTTCTTGAAGGTCTATTACAACTTAGCTTCTTCTGAAATTATTTTTCACAGATATACTTAAAAACAATACTTCTGTGATCACACAACAGAACTATTTTGTAAAGTAAAATATTTTTAAAAATCATTATAATGTTAATTCAAAACAGTCAATACAAGGGCACAGCTGCTTAGACAGAAATTCATTTAGATTAAGTGATCAAAACTATAAAAAACAGGAAGTGAAGACAAACCCACACACTTATGGCAAGCGTTCACTAATGGTTTAAGATGAGCTTACCAGTATAACCCTTATTAATTTTTCTAAGAAACACATGGAAAAGTCTTAAACATTTTAATTGGGATTGCAACCACATTTATGGCATATGGCTTAATTTTCCATCATATCAATGAAATACTTAAGCACGCAAACAGAAAATAAAATAATCCTATTCTCCTAAGAAAGAAAGGAGAATAGAGGAAAAATGTCTTAAATTCATTCAACAGAATTAACTAGATACTACTTAATTTTAAAAGTCAGCATTGAAATGCAAACCTAAACACACTTATTTTTCCCTTCTTCCAAACATCTTAGTTCTTTCCTTGTATTTTCTTTGTGATTTTCAGCACCCAATGTAAATTGAATATGGCCTGTTAACAAAGTCTAGACATCTTCAAGAAACTTAAATTAATTAAAAGCTCTAGAAGAAGTCTACAGCACTCAGAATGACATTTTCCTAATTGACATTTTCAATAGATAGCTCATAACAGTGACATCCAAGTTGCACAGGATGTTCCTACCTTCTTAAATGGACAAAATATAGTGGTTAGTTACAGGTTATAGACAAGACAAACAAAACATGCTGCAAGTCAAGCTGCTTTGTGTCTGTTACACTTTACAACAGTTCAGGACTTATTTTCTCAATTACTCTGTTCTCAATAAGGTGGCTGAGAAATAAATTTACCAATAAATTTTTCACTGATTTAAATTCAAACATATCACAATAAATCAGGGCAACGTCAGCAGGCTCAAGCAAGAAAATAGTTTCTACTGTTTATTTCTTCAAAAATGCAATTACGATTCTAGCCTTGGAAAAGACATCTATTTTTATCCTTGACCCACTCAAGAGCCCTGCTCAAGTCTCCAACTATTCATTTGATGCTCAACATGTGTTTTAAAAGCACATCTCAACTGCACGTTGAAGAGAAATCTTTGTATTGTTCACATACATAAATGAAAACCATGCATGAAAGATCTTTCCCATTTACATAATTACTACAGAATGAGGGAAAATGGAAATAGAAGTACCAATTGTAATGGTACCCAAGTTTTATCACATTAATAACAGTGACTTTGATTTTTTAAAAAGATACAATAAAATATTATTTGTATTATAAAAAGACTTTGCGGAGCAGTAACGTAATTTGCACAGAACTCCCAACTTTTGGCAGGTGTGGAGATGTGCAATAGATCTTAAGAACTGTCTAGACTTTTCTGTCTAAAATAACCTTCCACAACTGTGCAGAGCATCCTGAAAGATATTCGATACCTTGCATTCAAGCAAAAACACTACAACGAGTCTCACATTTACAGATTTGCACTGATAGCAATCTCACACTGTTTCCAAGATTAGAGAAAGTTATTTTGAATAAGAATTGGGAGTAAAAAATAACTTTGAGAGGGGTAAAAAGAGGAGTTTGGATCCAAGCCATAACTATCAGCTTACTATTTGGAGAGAATTAACATTTCTACTGGTGATAGAAATCAACCGTTCAGCAGTAACACATCTCACTACCAAAATACTAGAGGCTCTACCAGCACAGTCATTGAGTAATTTCATGTTTTTCACTCACCTATACAATCAAACATAACTGTGGTGAAAAGAGGTGCGGACAGACCAGGCAAAGGAGTGAGGAAAACTGGATCATGACTGGGATCATTTGCTTTACAATATATTCTAAGGATAATTCAAAATGTCCAAGTTGACAAAAGGAAGCAGGCAGATCACAAGTCATTTGAACAGAGAAAGGGCAAGACCTTCGCCTCCTCATAGCACCACCATGGGAATTAACCACTTATCACCTCAGGGAAATAGAGCTTTATTAACATGTACTCAACCTCTTCTTCACTGAGTAACTTTTTACTAAATCTCACAGAAGCTGGTGTCTCATGGTAGCTATAGGGTTTAGCTGTGCCTCTCAGCCCATCAAGGGGCTCTCCTGAGGACTTTAAAATGCTGCCGAGGAGGGACTGCCAAAATCATTTTGCCTCACCACCTCAAAAACACACACATTTTAGAGTCATAAGAGTTTGATCATTCCCACTTAAAAAGTCACTCTTACTTAGTTCATTCTAGTTCCCCTTCCAAGATCTCCTCAGTTGCAAATTTTAGATTCTAAAGAATCCTTGTACACACAAATCCATTCCCTCCAGTTTTAAAGACCATCAATTATGTACGAATCTTTGACATACACTAATATATCATCATTTATATGCCATATCCCCTTCTAAATCATTGCAGTAGCTTCCTCTCTTCATTTCCTTTAATAAATTTGAATCCTGGAAATAGTTAAAGAAAAAGGATAGAATCAAGGCAGGAAATGAACATTTAAAAAACGAATGTGGTAGTTCATCTTAAGCAGGGGAACCATCACCTGAGAAAGCAGATGAAATTAAAGAAAGTCTGCAAGACAGCTGAGAAAAGCTAAAGCTCAAAGAACAGGTAAGAGTGAAGCAGAACAAATTTAAAAGAAAGTTTCAGGAGAAAGAAA